CAGCCCAGCACATTGCCTACCTAGCAGATCGAAAACAACTCTGAGTAGATAAATAAAAAGGTAAAGGTTTCACCTGGCATACAGTCTAGTCATGTCTGACTCTGGGGGTGGTGCTCATCTCCATTTCTAAGCTAAAGAGCCTGCATTGTTCATAGACACCTCCAAGGTCATGTGGCCAGCACGACTGCATGGAGCACCGTTGCCTTCTCACAGAAGCAGTAACTATTGATCTGCTCACATTTGCATGTGTTCAAACGGCTAGGTTGGCAGAAACTGGGCCTAACAGTGAGAGTTCACTCCGCTCTCCGGATGTGAATGGCACACCTTTTGGTCAGCAAGTTCAGCAGCTCAGTGGTTTAACCCGCTGTGTCACCGGGGGGCCCAAGTAGATAAATAGGTACCCCTTAATTGTGGAGGTATTTTACATGGCACCATAAGGAAATATTTTTTAAAATGCTGACTATTAAGTCTGTGGACAGGGCTCTTTGGCTTAGTGGATGGAGCAAGAGCACCCCCTATGGCCGTAATTGAGCACAACCTCCAAGATGCCGAAGATGGGAAAGCCATATATACATTTAGGAGCCCCCAGTGGCAAAATGGATTAAAGTCCTGAGCTGCTGAACTTTGTGACTGAAAGGTCACAAGTTTGAATCCAAGGAGTGATGTGAGCTCCCACTGTTAGCCCCAGCTCCTGCTAACCTAGCAGTTTGAAAACATGCAAATACGAGTAGATCAATAGGTACCATCTGCGGGAAGGTAATGGTGCTCCATGCAGTCATACCAGCCAACATGACCTTGGAGGTGTCTATGGACAATGCCAGCTCTTCAGCTTAGAAATGGAAATTTATTTATTTATTTATTTATCTAGAACTTTTATATATCGGTCTTCTCACCTCTGTAGAGGGACTCAGGCCAGTTTCCAACAACAGTATCACAAACAATCATTTAAAAACATCACATTCCATAATACACTAAAACATTAAAATACAAAAATACAGTCATATAATTACAATGGCCAAGTCGTCACAATAAAATTGTAGTTCATCACCATCCATCCATATAGTCACAAGTTATTGACTCACTCGTCAAATGCCAGTTTCCAGTGCTAGGTTTTCACCTGTTTTCTAAAAGTCAGGAGAGAAGGGGCAGTTCTAATCTCCAGTGGGAGAGAGTTCCAGAGCCAAGGGGCCACCACCGAGAAGGCCCTGTCCCTCGTCCCCACCAGACGCGCTTGCGAGGCTAAGAGCTTAAGTGGCTGAGGGGGAAAAGGAAGGGGCCTGAAGCTGTTAGGAATTGTGGGAGTTGGAGTCCAAAACACCTGGAGGGCCCAAGTTTGCCCATGCCTGATCTACACTGTTCATATAGAATTAATCCACTTTAAATCCAGTTGTTGCCTCCTGCAGAATTCTGGGGTTTGTAGTTTAGGGAGGAGCCTTTAACAGCCTCCCTAAACTACAAACCCTAGGATTCTGCAGGAGGCAGAAACCGGATTGAAAGTGGGTCATTCTCTAGTGCGATGAAGTGACTGGATGCCCTTGTACAATCTCAAAAGCTCAGCAGCTCTTCCAACTGGGTATGGAAACCGGATCCTAATAGGGTTCTCCATCCGTGATCCAAGATTAAGATCCAAGACAACTCAGAAGCAAGTCCAAATGGCAGAGGGAAAGCGCCTGGCCATGCAGGAGTATCTTCCCATGGAGAAATAAGGGGGGAAGGAAGGGGAAGGGAGGGAGGGAGGGAGGGAGGGAGGGAGGGAGGAGAGGGGAGGAGGGGTGGAAGGATGGAAAGGAAGGAAGGAAGGAAGGAAGGAAGGAAGGAAGGAAGGAAGGAAGGAAGGAAGGAGGAAGGAAGGAAGGAAGGAAGGAAGGAAGGAAGGAAGGAAGTGAAGGGAGATGTTGACAAGCTGGAATGTGTCCAGAGGAGGGCGACTAAAATGATCCTTAGTCTTCCATCTAAGGCTAAGAGCTCTTCTACACAACCATGTAACCCAGAATATCAAGGCAGATAATCCACAATATCTGCTTTGAGCTGGATTATCTGAGTCCACACTGCCATGTAATCCAATTCAATGTGGATTTTATACAGCTGTGTGGAAGAGGACTCAGCCTCCAAGATCAGATGGGATCTGCTGCCTTTAGGGAATTGTAGACCCATCATTCATTCATTCATTACAGAACTGTATTGTTTCTGTAGGGATGGTTTCACTAGGCAGGAGGCCCCAGGTTGTTTGCCTTGGCATATCAGACATTCATGTTGCTTTTGCAAGAAGAAATCTGTTTTGGAGGGGAAAAAACTCATTTGAAGGGAGATGCTGACAAGCTGGAATGTGTCCAGAGGAGGGTGACTAAAATGATCAAGGGTCTGGAGAAAAAGCCCTATGAGGAGTGGCTTAAAGAGCTGGGCATGTTAGCCTGCAGAAGAGAAGGCTGAGAGGAGATATGAGTTGTTGTTGTTCATTCGTTCAGTCGTCTCCGACTCTTCGTGACCTCATGGACCAGCCCACGCCAGAGCTCCCTGTCGGCTGTCACCACCCCCAGCTCCTTCAAGGTCAGTCCAGTCACTTCAAGGATGCCATCCATCCATCTTGCCCTTGGTCGGCCCCTCTTCCTTTTGCCTTCCACTTTCCCCAGCATAATTGTCTTCTCTAGGCTTTGCTGTCTCCTCATGATGTGGCCAAAGTACTTCAACTTTGTCTCTAGTCTCCTTCCCTCCCGTGAGCAGTCGGGCTTTATTTCCTGGAGGATGGACTGGTTGGATCTTCTCGCGGTCCAAGGCACTCTCAGCACTTTCCTCCAACACCACAGCTCAAAAGCATCGATCTTCCTTCGCTCAGCCTTCCCTAAGGTCCAGCTCTCACATCCGTAGGTGACTACAGGGAATACCATGGCTTTGACTAGGCGGATCTTTGTTGCCAGTGATGTCTCTACTCTTTACTATTTTATTGAGATTGGACATTGCTCTCCTCCCAAGAAGGAAGCGTCTTCTGATTTCCTGGCCACAGTCTGCATCTGCAGTAATCTTTGCACCTAGAAATACAAAGTCTGTCACGGCCTCCACGTTTTCTCCCTCTATTTCCCAGTTGTCAAGCATTCTTGTTGCCATAATCTTGGTTTTTTTGACGTTTAGCTGCAACCCGGCTTTTGCGCTTTCTTCTTTCACCTTGATTAGAAGGCTCCTCAGCTCCTCCTCGCTTTCGGCCATCAGAGTGGTGTCATCTGCATATCTGAGGTTGTTAATGTTTCTTCCAGAAACATTACATATTTATAGACATGTATAAATATGTGAGAGGAAGCCACAGGGAGGAGGGAGGGAGCTTGTTTTCTGCTGCCCTGGAGACTAGGACGTGGAACAATGGCTTCAAACTACAAGAAAGGAGATTCCATCTGAACATGAGGAAGAACTTCCTGACTGTGAGAGCTGTTCAGCAGTGGAACTCTCTGCCCCAGAGTGTGGTGGAGGCTCCTTCTTTGGAGGCTTTTGAACAGAGGCTGGATGGTAATCTATCGGGGGTGTTTTGAATGCAATTTTCCTGCTTCTTGGCAGAATGGGGTTGGACTGGATGGCCCACGAGGTCTCTTCCAACTCTTTGATTCTATGATTCTAATGGCTTCAAACTACAAGAAAGGAGATGTCACCTGAACATTAGGAAGAACTTTCTGACTGTGAGAGCTGTTCAGCAGTAGAACTCCCTGCCCTGGAGTGTGGTGGAGGCTCCTTCTTTGGAGGCTTTTGAACAGAGGCTGGATGGCCATCTGTCGGGGTGCTTTGAATGCAATTTTCCTGCTTCTTGGCAGGGGGTTGGACTGGATGGCCCACGAGGTCTCTTCCAACTCTTTGATTCTATGATTCTATGAAATACAAGGTATGGATAAGGAAACAAGCCAAACCCTTCTTGGGCTTCTAAAGAGCAAACCCTATACCTTATTTGTTGCAACATGGAAGTTGTGCTCCCCATGCTCTATTCTGCTTTGGTTAGACTACACCTGGAATATTGTGTCCAATTCTGGGCACCACAATTCAAGAGAGATATTGACAAGCTGGAATGTGTCCAGAGGAGGGCGACTAAAATGATCAAGGGTCTGGAGAACAAGCCCTATGAGGAGCGGCTTAAGGAGCTGGGCGTTTAGCCTGAAGAAGAGAAGGCTGAGAGGAGGATATGATAGCCATGTATAAATATGTGAGAGGAAGCCACAGGGAGGAGGGAGCAAGCTTGTTTTCTGCTTCCCTGGAGACTAGGACGCGGAACAATGGCTTCAAACTACAAGAAAGGAGATTCCATCTGAACATGAGGAAGAACTTCCTGACTGTGAGAGCCGTTCAGCAGTGGAACTCTCTGCTCGGAGTGTGGTGGGGGCTCCTTCTTTGGAAGCTTTTAAACAGAGGCTGGATGGCCATCTGTCAGGGGTGATTTGAATGCAATATTCCTGCTTCTTGGCAGAATGGGGTTGGACTGGATGGCCCATGAGGTCTCTTCCAACTCTTTGATTCTAATATTCTACATGGCTTCAAACTACAAACTACTGAACATTAGGAAGAACTTTCTGACTGTGAGAGCTGTTCTGCAGTGGAACTCTCTGTCCTGGAGTGTGGTGGAGGCTCCTTCTTTGGAGGCTTTTAAACAGAGGCTGGATGGCCATCTGTCGGGGGTGCTTTGAATGCAATTTTCCTGATTCTTGGTAGGGGGTTGGACTGGATGAACCATGAGATCTCTTCCAACTCTATGATTCTATGATTCTATTATAAAACATTAGGTCGGGTCCTCTGAGTACAGGAATCATAGAATCATAAAGTTGGAAGAGACCTCATGGGCCATCAAGTCCATCCCCCTGTCAAGAAGCAGGAATATTGCATTCAAATCACCCCTGACAGATGGCCATCCAGCCTCTCTTCCAACTCTTATGTTTCTACAGAAAATCTGGCAGGAGATGCATTGCAGAGGTGAGTGTGTTTCCCCCTCCTTGGACTCCTCTGGGCTGCTGTTGCAAGCTGCATGAAGGCTCATCTTCTTCCTTTTTTCCTATTTTCCCCGCCTGGGATTGCCTTGCAATCGGGGAAAGGCCGAGGAAAGCAGCCAAGCGGAGGTGGGCAGAAGGAAGACCTTCTCCTTTCCCCCCCTTCTCGCCCAGATCCTGCCAAATATAAATAAATAAAGCGGAGCAGGCAAGGAAGTGCAAAAAAACAGCCCTTTGCTTTCGGAAGTCAATCGCCGGGGCTGGGGGACGCCTGCGCAGTGGAGAGACCCTGCCAGCCAGTATTTTTCTTCCCCCTTTTTTGATTTTTTTCCTCTCTCTCTCTCTCTCTCCAAGTGGCTTCCCCACCTCCACCTCTTCCTCCTCCCTTGGCACCCCTTCTTCCTCCCCAAAAAGGGAGCTGAAAAAGAAGAGGCAGCGGAGGAAAAAAAGGGGGATTGGAAAGGGAAAAAGGGACGGATGTGCGGCAGGGATCTCGGATGCACCAAACGTGAGTCCCCAAAACCCCCTGAGTTTGGGTTGAGTGCCTTTGCCAAAAGGGATCTCCATTGGAGAGGGCAACTCTGCCCAGGATTGGGCAAAAGGGAGGGGGGTGAGGGGGGAGGGAGGTGTTTCCTTGGGAGTGAAATCGGATCCAACCTGGCTGAGGCTCCCTCGCCTTTTCCTCAGTTTCCTGTGCTGCTTCTCCTGCTTTTCCTCTCCTTTTTGGATGAGGTTTTGCTACATCTGTATCTTGGGAAGGGACCTGGGCCCTTTTGCAAAGCCGAGAGGAAGGGGAGAAGGGGCCAAAGGCGAAACAGTCTTGCAAAGGAGAGATACACAAATGTATTAAATTTAGGAAGGGAAAGGCAGGCGCGTGTTGTCGGGTGAATGCATCAAGTGTGCGGCCGGATTGCAATAGAGGGGAAACAGGGAGGGAGATCTTGCTGGCGTGGAATGGGAGAAGAAGACCTGGGTTTGGGGTCTCCCCTTGAACCCCCCTCCTTCTCTTCTTCCTGAGGTTCCTACCAGGCAGGAAGAAGGCATGCCATGGTCTGCAAGGCTGGCTCCTAATGAGAGCCATGTGCCAGGTTTGGCCAAAGAGGCTCAAGGCAAAAAGGAGAGAGATGTTTGGGGCGATGGCAGAGCAAGGCGTTGAGTGCCATTAAGATCCCTTTGGGAGGAACCCAATCACCTCTTGAAGGGTCACCTTTCTTGTACCCCAAACCTTTCAATCAGGTGGCTTCCTTTTCTTGCCTCTTGGAGGGAAATACCTGGGGACCCACCAGATCAAAGGCTGCCTGAGGCTTCACAAGGCTAGTCGCAGGAGTTTTGGTCTTGCAAATCCATCTCTTTACAACAGTGGGGCCTTCCACACAGTCCTATATCCTGGAATATCAAGGCAGGAAATCCCACATTATCTGAGTATGGACTCAGATAACGCAGGACCCTTCCACACAGGATATCAAGGCAGGAAATCCCACATTATCTGAGTATGGACTCGGATAACGCAGAACCCTTCCACACAGCCTTATATCCCAGGATATCAAGGCAGAAAATCCCACATTATCTGAGTATGGACTGAGATAATGCAGGGCCCTTCCCAGGGCCGTAGCCAGAAAAAATTTTTGGGGAGGGTTAACAATTTTGGGGGGGGTTGAAAATTTCGGGGGGGGGGGGGTTCAAACCTGTCTCCTAGCTCACGCTGAAGCAAAGAGCACAGCAGGGGGCAGAGTAACCTTCAATAGCCTGCAGCTCCCTGTCAACCACCTCCACCAAGTCTGGCCTCCTTAATGAGTTGCTTGGTTGCTTCACTACATCTGCTATTGCTGCAAGTAATGACAGTGTGAATAAATTGTCAATATTTGCTTGAGATAGTGCTTACAGTTCTGGAGGGACTTATTTTTGCATCTCATAGACTTAGCATGGGGATTTGGTTAACCAGTTAAAATTCATGAGTAAACCAGGTTTTTTTAAAAAATCTGAAACATTTCGGGGAGGGTTTGAACCCCTAAAACCACCCCCTCGCTACAGGCCTGGCTCTTCCACACAGCCCTATATCCCGGAATATTAAGGCAGAAAATCCTACATTATCTGAGTGTGTACTCAGATAACACAGAACCCTTCCACACCGCTTTATATCCCAGGATATCAAGGCAGGAAATCCCACATTATCTGAGTGAGGACTCAGATAATGCAGAACCCTTCCACACAGGATATCAAGGCAGAAAATCCCACATTATCGGCATGTAGACTCAGATAACGCAGGGCCCTTCCACACAGCCCTATAACACAGAATATCAAAATAGGAAATCCCACATTATCTGAGTGTGGACTCAGATAACACAGAACCCTTCCACACAGCCTTATATCCCAGAATATCAAGGCAGGAAATCCCACATTATCTGAGTGTGTACTCAGATAACGCAGGACCCTTCCACACAGGATATCAAGGCAGAAAATCCCACATTATCAGCGTGTTGACAGATAACACAGGGCTCTTCTACATAGCCCTATATTCAAGAATATCAAAGCAGGAAATCCCACATTACATGAGTTCGTACTCAGATAACGCAGGGCCCTACCACACAGCCCTAATATCAAGACAGGAAATCTCACATTATCTAAGTGTGGACTCAGATAACGCAGAACCCTTCCACACAGCCCTTTATCCCAGAATATCAAGGCATGAAATCCCACGTTATCTGAGTGTGGACTCAGATAATCCAGTTCAAAGCCGATATTGTGAGATTTTTTGCCTCGATATTCCTGGGATATAAGGCTGTGTGGAAGAGCCCCCAGTTCCAAGCAGATATTGTGGGATTTTCTGCGATATAGGACTGTGTGGAAGGGCAGCCCGGAAAACTCACAACAACCCAGTGTGTTGAAGGGCCCAGTGTGAATTTTCTCGGCTGTATGGCCATGTTCCAGATGCATTCAACAATATAGTGTTTTTCAACCTTCCTAATGCAGTTTGTCATGTGGTGGTGACCCCCAACCATGAAATTATTTTAATTGCTACTTCATGACTGTGATTTTGCTACTGTTATGAATCCAAATGTAAATATCTGATTTGCAGGATGTATTTTCATTCACTGGACCAAATTTGGCACAAATAACCAATACTCCTAAATTTGAATACTGGTGGGGTTGGGCCGGGGGGAGGGGAGAGATTGGTTTTGTCATTTGGGAGTTATAGTTGCTGGGATTTATAGTTCACCTACAATCAAAGAGCACGCTGAACTCCATCAATGATGCAATTGAACCAAACTTGGCACACAGAACTCCCATGACCAACAGAAAATACTGGAAGTGTTTGGTGGGCATTGATCTTGAGTTTTGGAGTTGTAGTTCACCTACACCAAGAGAGCACTGTGGAATCAAACAATGGTGGATCTGGATCAAACGTAGCATGGATACTCAATATGCCCAAATGTGTTAAATAGACCTTGACACTTGGGAGTTGTGGTTGCTGGGATTTATAGTTTACCAATAATCAGAGAACATTCTGAACCTGATCAATGATAGAATTGGGCCAAACTTCCCACACAGAACCTCCATGACCAACAGAAAATACTGTGAGCCCTCTGACACCCCCCTTGCAACACCATCAGGGGTCCTGACCCCCAGGTTGAGAAACACTCCTTTACAAGATCCTGAAATCAGGGGGACATATATCTTGCAAACCTCCTCTTTGATAAGATGCTCAAAACAAGGGAGCATATGTATATCTGCAAGGGAGGGGCTTATTCATATATTTAGTAAAGATTCCTCTGTACAAGATCTTGATAATGAGAGGGCATATAAGCTTGTTACATCCTGCAAAGGGAGGGGGGCATATGTCAGATGACACAGAGAAGTCATTAAAATCCACAAGCATGTAGACAATTTCAACAGAAAGGAAGAAACCGTGAAAATGAACAAAATTTGGCTACCAGTATTTTTTTTAAAAAACTCTAAAATCAGTACAGTAAATAAAGAGCACCACTCTGAAAATGGGAATTCCAGATAGGAAAAGTCAGGGCCAGCTAACACCTTCCAAAAAAAAAGGATTCCCCTGAGCAGGAAGCAGCCAGGCATTGAAGCTGCAAGGCTTTTCTGTGCTAATCCCAAGGTGATTGATTGCAACACTCACACTTGCTTTAAACAGCCAAGAGTTCTTTCTCCCACCCTGCACATTCCACAGATATATAAACCTCCCTTGCCTAGTTTCCAACAGACCTCACAATCTCTGAGGATGCCTGGCATAGATATGGGTGATACGTCAAAAGAGAATGCCATGCAGCCCAGAAAACTCACAGGAACCCAGGGGGCATATCGCTTGTAAAGCAACCCTTGTTAGATCCTGTTGTTGTGCTGTTGTAATTTTAGAGTTTTTTTAATACTGATATTAAAATACTGGAAACAAACAAGGACATCTAATCACCTCTCAACAAAAGTTTGCTCCAGGCACTGTCAGGCCATTATATGCTAATCAAGGTGGTCAGTTGAAACATTCACACCTAGCTCCAGCAGACAAGAGTCCTTTGTCCCACCCTGGTCATTCCACAGATATATAAACCCTTAGTTTTCTTAGTTCCAACAGACCTCACTACCTCTGAGGATGCTTGGCATAGATGCAGGCGAAACATCAGGAGAGAATGCCTCTAGACCATGGCCATATAGCCCGAAAAAACCTACAACAACCCAGTGATTCCGGTCATGAAAGCCTTCGACAATACCTTTACAAGATGTTGTTGACAACTTTCATGGCCGGAATCACTTGGTTGCTATGAGTTTTCTGGGCTGTGTGGCCTTGTTCCAGAAGCATTCTCTCCTGATGTTTCACCCACATGTATGGCAGGCATTCTCGGAGGTTGCGGGATCTGTTGGAAACTGAGGAAAGTGAGGTTTATGTATCTATGGAATGTCCCGGGTGGGGGAAAGAACTCTTGTTTGCTTGAGGCAAGCACACTGAACTGGGTTATATGGCAATGTGGACTCAGATCCCCTCTTTACCTGGTCCTTATATCTTGGGCCCCTTTCACGCAGATGTATAAAATCCACAATGAACTGGGTTATATGGCAGTGTGGACTCAGATCCCCTCTTTACCTGATCCTTATATCTTGGGCCCCTTTCACACAGATGTATAAAATCCACATTGAACTGGGTTATATGGCAGTGTGGACTCAGATCCCCTCTTTACATAATCCTTATATCTTGGGCCCCTTTCACGCAGTTGAATAAAATCCACATCGAACTGGGTTATATGGCAGTGTGGACTCAGATCCCTTGCTAACATTGTCCTTATATATTTGGCCCTTTTTCACACAGTTGAATAAAATCCACATTGAACTGGGTTATATGGAAGTGTGGACTCAGATCCCCTCTTTACATGGTCCTTATATCATGGACTCCTTTCACACAGTTGAATAAAATCCACATCAAACTGGGTTATCTGTGTAGACTCAGATTCCCTCTTTACCTGATCCTTATATCATGGTCCCCTTTCACACAGTGGTATCCAATCC